GAGACACAGCGAGAGAGGGAACACAAGCAGGGGGAGCGGGAGAGGGAGAAGCAGGCCTCCCGCAGAGCAGGGAGCCCGATGCGGGGCTCGATCCCAGGACCTGAGCCGAAGGCAGATGCCCAATGACTGAGCCACCCAGGCGCCCCACAGATCTCAATTTTATTTATTTTTTTTAAGATTTTATTTATTTATTTGACAGAGAGACACAGCGAGAGAGGGAACACAAACAGGGGGAGCGGGAGAGGGAGAAGCAGGCTTCCCGCGGAGCAGGGAGCCCGATGCGGGGCTCGATCCCAGGACCCTGGGATCATGACCTGAGCCGAAGGCAGACGCTTAATGACTGAGCCACCCAGGCACCCCTTCACTTGGAAATTTTGATGCTTATTTTAAATAGCTTATTTCAAGTGACTACTTTTAATACCACTTACACTAGACAACAAAGAGATACATTAAAGAGCTTTATTAAACGACTTTTTTTTTTTTTAAAGATTTTATTTATTTATTTGACAGAAAAAGACACGGTAAGAGAGGGAACACAAGCAGGGGGAGCGGGAGAGGGAGAAGCAGGCTTCCCGCTGAGCAGGGAGCCCGATGCGGGGCTCGATCCCAGGACCCTGGGATCATGACCTGAGCCGAAGGCAGACGCTTAACGACTGAGCCACCCAGGCGCCCCACAGATCTCGATTTTAAAATTTTTTCTTTGTTCTACAGCTTGGGACGTAGCGTTAGCGACGATTCCGTGTGCGCCTTAGAAGAACCGCGAGCCTTGGGCTGGTTGTGCGGCGGGCCTCGTGCTTCCGCTGATCGTCCGTCTTCCTCCGCGGTGCGTGGGTGGGGGGTGTGGGCCGTGCGGGGCGCCCGAGGGCGGGGACCAAGGACAGCGGGCAGGCGGGCGCTGGGGGGCACCCTCCCTCTCCGAGGGCTGCGCGCACGGTGTCGGTCTTCCCGCCTGGCCCGCTCGCCTGCGTCGGGTTCAGCAGCGGCCACCGCAGACGTGGGCGCGGCCCGCCGGAGGCGCGCCGTGGGCCCCCAGCAGCCTGTAAGGTCTGCGGCCGGGTGGTTTGGAGCACGGCCTGTGAGCACTCCCCATCTTGCTAGGTTTTGTTGTTTTTCAGGAGCCTTTTATCACAGCTACCCGAAAATTGGCTGGCATCTGCCCTAAGAATTTGTAACCTTAAGCAGAAATTAAAAATGCCTTAGGAGGTTCCTCTAGGGCAGAGGAGTCTGTGAAAGAAAGTTGGGCACGTAATTTGTCTTTAATTCTTAGTTAACCCTTCAGGGGTGTACCCAGTAACTACTCACTGACATTTTGGTGGTTAAGCGAAGGTAAACTGGTCTGAAGAATGCGTGGAATTATGAAGAGGCTGGTTTCGCGGCTTCCTGGGAGAACCGGCCCAGGGGAAGCAGCGTGAACATGGACTCGGGCGCACCGTCCTGGTGTGAAGCCGAGGGCCGGTCTGGGTTGTGAGGTTACGTTGGAATTCGTCGTACCGTTATTCCATGGAAGTGCGGCCCGCGGCTGGAAGGCTGGATGTGCTTCTGTCCTACGGGCTTTAGCAGACCAGTGTTTGTCGTCCCAAGATTGACCTGCTTTATTGAAGGGTTTTAAAATTTAATCGAAGAGACAAATTTGAGGAAATGTTTAACAGAAGGAGACTTACCTGTTTGTGGTTAAGGAAGGTACAAGTATGAAAGTAAATAAAAATATCCTTTAGATGAGTAACAGATCTGTTTAAACCCAAAGAAAATTATCGAAAGACTCGATGTTGAAAGAGGTGCAGGAGCACTTCCGAGTGTTTCCACTTCCGTGAGCGTTTGCTGTAGGGACCGTGGGGCCTGCAGGACGAGGGGTTTTTGGGAGACCTGCTCCGGACACGTGTGCACACACTCGGTTTTCGAATCCCGTGAGCATTCCGAGTTTGCGCTCGGAGGAGGTCCTCGTCCGGAGCCCCCGAGTGCCTCCTGAGAACGGTCACACGTTTCCCGGACCACCGCGCCGACGCAAAATGAGCGAACCTTCCAGGGTGTCTTAAAAACAAGGACAAGCGTTGATTCGAGCCCAGGTGAGGACGGCTGCCCGGGATGGCGACCTTCACAGATGAGAGAGAGCGTGGAAGGAATGTGTAACGCGGGGCCGTGTTGCTTCCGTGGCGTCGGGAGTGACAAATCACAGTGACCGAGGACGTTCCAGAAAATGACACGCTCGACCTTGTGCTTTTAGCGCCTGCAAGTTTGCAGGCTTCGGACGGATGGGCGCTCGGGGAGGTTTTGACTCTTATCTTCAGTTTGACGTGTTTCTCGCAGGCTGTTTGCTCACGACGCAGACGGACAGCGTGAGCTCGGGGCAGAAATGGAGCCCTGCTCTGAAGGGTCGGGGAGCCCCTCCGACCGCGGCCGCGGCGTAGCCTCCCTGGGGGCGCGGGCGCAGGGCCGGGCAGCGGGGTCACAAGCAGCCCCCGCAAATGCAGACCTCTTGCAGGTCATTGGCCTTTCACAACAAGAGGCTCCAGGGATGGCAAGCGTGGGCTCGCCTGAGGGCCATGGACGCGGAGACGCGGACACGGAGACGCAGCCAGCAGTGGCTGCCTGACCCAGGGGCCTGCACAACTCACACCGCGGGGCTCCAGGCCCTCTTGGGCTTCCTGGTGGAAGCAGCCACGAGGACTAGGACTCCTGCCGCAAACTCGTGATTGGGCTGCACCAAGGGCGTCGCTGTCCCCGAGGTCTCGAGGAGACTTCACACTGCTGTGGTCAGCAGGTTGCTCACACTGTGCACTGATTTCCCCAACGTCCGCTGGTATCGCTCCACCTTCCCCCATCACTAAGTACCTGGCCGTAGCTGAAAGAGTAGAGGAGGACAGGTCTTCCTCCCTGTTTCCGCCTCACTCACTGGCACCGGGGTCCACTGGGTCAGCGTCCACACATCTGAGAAACCCAAACTTCAGTTGTCACAGGTGCGTTTACCCCGTTTCCTGCAGGAACATTTGATGGCAAGATGTGGCCTCACGGAGATCAAGGGACATCTGCTGGTTGGGTGTTTTCTGGTCCAGGAGGGGTTCGCGAAGACGCCCTCTGTGGGAGAACACTGGTTCATCCGGGCCACTGAGTGTGGACGCAGGGGGGAGTGGCACTTACATGGGCACCGTGTTTAAGTCCACAGTGATGGTTGAGAACGCTCAGTGTCCATGAGCCCGTGGGACGCCATGACGGACCTACGAATCCACACTTGTTCTGAGAGCACAGATCTCATTATCCTATCACCTGAAGCATAACAGGTCCCAGGTTAATGACGACGAACATCATTAACGTTGAGATCCAAACCTAACGTTGAGAAGCAGGTGGCTGAGCAACGTGGATGTGTCAAAACGTCATCTTTCCACCATCAGGCTTTGGGGAAGATGCTGGACAGGTGACGCTCTAGAACACCGTGCGGGACCAGTGAACTGGTGCTTTTGGTCCTCAGCTTGGAAAGCGCGAATGTGTTTGTGTCCGTTATCTGTAAATATTGCTAAGACTGCACTTGAGGATTGCCCGTTTGAAGAGGAAGGAATGTGACTGTCACCTGGTGAGTAGGTTATTTAAAACAATGAAACATACCCACAGATACAACAGTAGGGATCCGAAGGGTACGCACACCCCGATGTTTATAGCAGCAATGTTCACAATAGCCAAACTGTGGAAAGAGCCCAGATGTCCATTGACAGATGATGGATAAAGATGTGGTTCATATGTACAATGGAATATTATGCAGCCATCAAAAAGTGAAATCTTGCCTTTTGCAAGGATACGGATGGAACTAGAGGATATTATGCTGAGTGAAGTAAGTCAGAGAAAGACAAAAATTGTATGATTTCACTGATACGCGGAATTTAAGAAACAAAACAGATGAATATAGAAGATGGGAAGGAAAAATAAGACAAAATCAGAAGGGAGACAAACCGTAAGAGACTCTTAACTCTAGGAAGCTGAGGCTTGCTGGAGGGGAGGTGGGCAGGGGGCTGGGGTCACTGGGGGATGGGCATGAAGGAGGGCACGTGATGGAATGAGCACTGGGTGTTCTATGCAACTGATGAATCACTGACCTCTACCTCTGAAACTAGTAATACAGTATATGTTAATTAAGTGAATTTAAAGACATTTAAAAAATTCCTGAAATGTTAAAATATAGAATGAATGAGAAAAGAAAAAAGTATATTAATGATGATCAAGTATATGAAGGACTCGCGTTGACCAGGATCGTTATTTCCCTGCAGACCGAGAGAAGATGTAGGTACAATTGCAATAAACACAACGGACTCAGGAGGCCAAATAAATAAAACAACGAAGCAACACGGGGTAGAGATTAGCCGTCCGACTGGAAACCTGTCGCCGAGTCCGGAAGTGGGAGCAGGCGTGCGAGCTGCCCATGCGTGCGCATCTGTGTCTGGTATCCGTGTTTCTGAGCCGGAGCGTGTTGTATCCATGTCTCCCCGTGCCCGGCACCGATTCCAGTCATCACACATGCGCCAAGGCAAACAGTGACCAAGAAACTCGTAAGCACACACCTCGCTGCGTAGAGAGGGAGAGCGTGTCGGTAGGAGACAGGCCCTCCCGGTCAGCCTGGCCTCGGTTTCCAGGGAGTCGGGGGGACGTCCCTCGCACAGGCGGTTCGGTGTCTCCGTGGCGGAGCCGCCCCCACAGACGTCGAGCCGGCCAGGCTCCAGGGGCCAGCAAGGCCCCAGCGAGGGGGCGGGAAGTGGGTCCCATGCGGCTCCCAGGCCACCCCGCCCTGTCCCTGTCCTGGGGCTCCTCCACCTTTGTGTTCCTGGCTCCAGCCAGGTGGGCCGTGCGCGGCCCCCGTGTATGGAGAAGCTGGTTTCCATCCCTAAGAAAGAAGCCTGTACCTGTTTCCTGTACCCTCCCGCAGCCCCATGAGCAACCACGCAGCCGGGTTCCCCAGTGTTACCTGGCCGCAGCGAAGAGCACGCTTTTAGGACAGACAGAAAAACCACAGCCTGATCTGGCTTTTTAAAGTTTGTTTTAATAGCAGCATATGATTCTGAAAACAAAACCTTTACGCCAACAGCGGGTCAGCGCTCCTGAAGCCTGTTTTCCGTTACGCTCCCGACGCACGTTCTGGTGTGCAGTGAGGTTGGCCTCGGCCCCGTGTGGAGACCCCCGCTGCGCGGTCGGGGCTGTGCCCACGCCGTGTGGGCGGAGACACTTCGCACTGGGACGGCGCCCGGAACGGCTCACGATGTGCAGGACGGAGGGCGGCAGACGTCCTGAGGACACCCAGGGTCCCCTAACGGGCCCAAGGCTACGCCCCAGACGCTGCCCGTCAGGTCTGCAGTAACCTGAGCGGCTTCCTCCGGGCCCGAGCTTGCCTGGCGCCAGGCCTGCTGCAGCGACCATGTCCAGAGCCTGGCAGGAGGAGGCCCTTTCCGCTGGCTGTTCCTTCCGAAACCCAAGGAATCAGGTCTTTTGCTCACGTATCCAGCAGCCACTGCTCAAGATTTTTCCGGAAAGGAGGTGGCTAGGCCCAGCAGGAGGCACGGGCTGAGAAGGGTCTGCTCTGTGGTGGGCTCAGCCCGCCTGTTCCCCGAGCCCGTCAGGGCGCCTTCTGCCTTCGCTCTTCCTGCGGAAGGGAGGCCAGAGGCTCACGTGGCGCCACCTGCTGCCTCCCCCCAAGCGGCAGCACCCGGCACTCGCTCAGGAAGTGCAGATCTGGCCCTGGCCCCCTCCCAGGGCCGTGTGCCCCCTTCCCGCCCTGCCACCCTCTCCCCGTCCTGCACACGTTGTCCGGTCTTCCCAGACACCAGACGTGGGTCACCAGAATGCCTCGGCCCCTCACCTTGATGGCTTGTTCCAGCTGGAACAAGGCCGCCTCGTACCGCGGGACCAGCGGCTGCAGGAGCTCGCCAGGGATGTCGTGCCGCGCCGTCTCCGGCACCCCAGCTTCGGCTAGCATGCGGAGGAACCTCCTCTCCTGCGGGAAAGCAAGGGGCCCTGTTTTCCGCGAGCGGTGCTGCCGGCAGAGGTCCCGGGCCCTGGGTCGACTCCAGCAGACGCACCTGCACTTTGAGGAGCAGCGTGAAGGCCTGTCCAGTTTTTCCAGCGCGGGCGGTTCTTCCGACCCTGAAACCAAGCACAGCTACCTCCAGGACGGTGGCCCCCAGGGGCCCGATGGGACAGGGCTTCCCTCCAGGGACCCTCCCTCCAAGAGCGCGGGATGGCCTTACCGATGGACGTAGGTACGCAGGTACTGGGGGGCGTCATAGTTGACCACCAGCTGCACGCCCTGCACGTCAATGCCTCGAGCGGTGGCGTCTGTGCTGATGAGGCTGGGGAGCACCAGGGGCTGTGGGCCCTGCCCGAGGCCGGGAGCCCCCCTCCGCCCCCCGCCCGGCCCTGCTGGGGAAGCCACCACACTGAGGAGGCGAGTCTCCCGCAGGAAAACGCCCTCAGAGGGCCCAGGCTGTACCTGGCGGGAGCATTCCCCTCCTCCTTTCCAGGTACTCACAGCTGAACCTTGCCCTGCTCAAACTGCTTCAAGACCGCCTTCCTCTGGCCGGGCCCGCAGCGGGAGGAGAATTCAGCCGCGCTCACACCTCCGAAAGCCTGGACGAGCAGGAAGAGCCTGGGTGGGAAGAGCCGGAAGGAGCTGGGTGGGCAGGGCCTGGAGCCTACCCCCATCCTGTTCCCCTCTCCTCCCCCTCCGCCCACTTGGGCCTCACCTGTGTGAGTTCTCGCGGGAGTTGGTGAAGCAGAGGACCCTGGAGAAATCCTTCTCCAGGATCAGATGCAGGATGGCCAGTGGCTTAGTGCGGAGGCTGCAGGGCACGTAGTGGTGCTGTGGGGACAGCACAGGGTCGGCCAGGCCCAAGCGCCTGAGGCACCCCCTCCCCACCCCTGCACGCCCGCTCACCGAGAGCCCTACGGGGAAGGTGTACTTCCCGCCGGAATCCCCATCTTCGTCAGTGTCTCTGGGGCCCTTGTACGTCAGCCCCGTGGAGAAGAGCCGGGGCTGGTAGAGGCCCAGCTGCTGCAGCTTCTCAGGATTCTGCGTCAGGGTGGCCGAAAAGAGCAGCTTCTGCAGTGGCATCTGAGGACAAGAAATACTGAAAGGGGAGCGGGGGATGGGACAGCAGTCTTGGTCTAGCCAGCCAACCTGCAGAGCCCCGGCCACCCCAGAACAGACCAGACCAGACCAGACCAGACCAGACTGGGGCCGAGGGGTCTCAGAGCCAGAGGGGAAGCACGACGGGGCTGTCCGCAGGCGGCCACACTGAGTGCAGGGCAGGCTCAGTGTCAGGTACCTGGCGGCCGTCGTGGCCCGGGGTTGCCGCCTCTGGAGCAGAGCGAAGGGCTCCTTGGCCCCGTCCCTCGGGAAGGCTGCCTCCACCACCCGGGGCAGCCAGGACTGGTGCATGCTGTCTACCATGCGGTCGGCCTCATCGATGACCTAGGGGAAGCGAGAAGCCTGGTGTCTGGTGGCCGAGGTCTGCATTGGCTCCAAACCCCAGCCATCCTCCAGGGGTGGGATTTACCAGGAAGCGGAGGTGCTGGAGGCTGAATCCTGGGGTCTGGTCGATGTGGTCCACCAGGCGGCCAGGAGTGGCCACCACCACGTCAGCCAAGCAGCGGAAGCCGTCTGCTCTGAGGAGTGGAGTGGCTCAGCAAAAGGCCCCACGCTGACCCCCCCCAATACCACAGGGAACCTGCAGACAGGGTTCAGAGAGCCACTCCCTGTTCCCCGAGGAGCCCCCAGCCCCGCAGGACCTACGTCTTCTGGACAAGACTCTCCTGCTCTTTGATCAGCGACTTCTGCCCAGTGATCAGGGCGACACGCAGAGGAGTGGCATCTGTGTAGATGTTGAACACTTTGCTCACCTGGAGAAAGAGCGGCCGTCACCAACCTGGTACAGAGCACCACAGCGAAACAGAGCCTAGGTCTGACCTGGGGACGTGGGGTACACGTACCTGCTGGGCCAGCTCCTTGGTGGGCAGCACAACCAAAGCACGGACCTGGCAAACAGCTCGACGTAATAGGGCCTGGGGGGTGGGGAACACGACAACCACCCGAGTCAGCAGAGCTGGCTCCCTGCCTGCAGAGCCCACCTGGAGGGTGGGGGTCCTTATACTCACCTGTACCACTGGAATGACAAAGGCCAAAGTCTTCCCACTGCCCGTTGGGGCAGAGACACAAAGGTCACTGGGCCGGTAGCCACCTCTGGCCACGAGAAACCCGTTGGCCGTGCTCTCCAGGAGGGCAGGAATCACTGCTGCCTGGACTGGACAAAGAAGGACGAGACACAGGTCACATCTGCGCGGGAACACCCAGAATCAGCACAGGCACTGGAGTGCAAAGTAACCTTACCCTTCACCTCCGACTTCTAGACCAGGCTGTTCTCGCTCAACGATGGCACCAGGCCCAGGCGGCCCAAAGATGCCAAAAGCCCAGATGGCACTTGGTGCTGGACGTGCCCAGGGGCCTGTGTTCACAGCTATTACGCTGTGGCCTCGTGTGGCTCTCGGTGAGAAGGCTCTTGAAAGCGTGCCAGTCCCCCCCCCCCCCCCCGCCGCACCTGGGAAGTAGGACGATATGCCATGAGCCCGCAGTTTCTTCTGCATGTCAGGGTGGACTTCAGGGATGTCCTCGATAGGCACCAAACCTTCAGTGACACTCTTTCCAACGCAGCTCGGCTCAGCCAACCATGACGGCAGGAAAGGCTGGACCTACCGTAAAGAGGGGCCAAGTGAACACTCCGGGGTCCGTGGGGCTAGGGGAGCAAGACCCGCAGAAACAAAGGACTCAGGTACTCAGGCTGAAGAGGCCACAGCAAGGCAGGCCGACTACCCTATTTCCCAGCTTCTCCCGTCCCCCACTGTCCACACAACTTTTAAAGGAATTAAGAAACGCACACCAGAAAGTGACGCTCCCCTGAGGAGAACCACCCTGGGGGGCTTCCTCCCACACCCCAGGTGCGCCTGCAGAGCCATCCATGACCCGGCACTCACCTGCCCCCAACCTCATTTCCCACCACTGGCTGTACCTTAGCCACGTAAGCTCTGTTCCCGCACACCGAAGCTCGCTGCTGCCTCAGGGCCTTTGCGGAACCCTGCCTTCCGCCAGACGCTCACCTCCCCTGCCCATCTCACCCGGGCTGATCCCAACCCAGTGTGGCCCTCCCCACGGGCACAGACACGAAGGGGCGCCCACGCACCCTGGCAAGCCTGCCGTCTCCTTGCTGGCAGCTCGGTACTCACTGAAAACCTCCACCAAGATAAAAAGACTAGCTTAAAAGCCCCCGGGGGGGTGAGCCCTGCACAGACGCGCCTTAAACACGCCAAGTAGGCGAGACGAGTTTTAAGACCCAACTGCGACACCCACAAACCCACTTACTACCCCACAAGATTTTTTTTACGACCCAAGCAAAACCCCGAGTTCGCACGAGACTCGAACACCCCGAAGGAAACGCACGAGCCACGCGAGCGAGGTCGGAAGACGTCCGCGCACCGAACACCTGAGGACGCCCGCCAGGCGCAGGCGCGGCCCACGGGCGGCCCCACGAGCGGCCCCACGAGCGGCCCCAGCCCTGGCCGCAAGCGCCCCACGCAGCGCCCGGCGGAAGCAAAGCCGTCGAAGGCTCCCCGCCGCCGGCCGCTCGCTCACCTTGGGCGCCCTGCTCCTCCCGAGGCCCCCGAGCAGCGGGGCCTGGCCGGGGGGCCCCGCGCCGCTCTCCCGGCGCGCCTCTTCGCGGCTCCCTGCGGGGCGGAAGCGGGCAGGGCGGCGCGTCAGCCCCGCGGCCCCGGCTCCCACGGCCGCGCCCCGCCCGGCCCGGCCCCACCTGCGCTCTCGTCCTCGCCGTCCACTCGCCGCCGCTTCCCCCGCGGCGCGCGCGGGCTCCCCGGGGCCCCGCCGCCCTCGCGCCTGCGCGCTCTGCGCGGCCGCCGCCGCCGCCGCCCCGCCGCCCGCGCGGCCTGCTGCTGTTGCGGCTGCTTTCGCTGCTGCCGCTCTCGGGCACGGCGCTGCAGCCGCTCCAGCAGCGCGCGCGCCCGGCCGTCGGCCTCGGCGCCCGCCCCCGCCGCCTCGGGGCCCGCGTACCGCGCGACGTGGAAGAGCGCCATGCCGCCAGCCGCCAGCCGCATGGCCCCGGCCAGACGCGCCGCGACGACGGCAGGGGCGCGGGGAGGTGACGTCACGGCGGGGCCGGGCGGCGGCCGCCGCGCGCGCGAGGCCCCGGCGCGGGGAGGTGACGTCGCGGCGGGGCCGGGCGGCGGCCGCCGCGCGCGCGAGGCCCCGGCGCGGGGAGGTGACGTCGCGGCGGGGCCGGGCGTAGGCCGCCGCGTGCGAGAGGCCCCGGGCGCGGGGAGGTGACGTCGCGGCGGGGCCGGGCGGCGGCCGCCGCGCGCGCGAGGCCCCGGCGCGGGGAGGTGACGTCGCGGCGGGGCCGGGCGTAGGCCGCCGCGCGCGCGAGGCCCCGGCGCGGGGAGGTGACGTCGCGGCGCCGGGCGGCGGCGCGTGCGGCGGGTGTGTGTCGCGTGGGGCGGCGGCGGCGGCGGCATGGAGCGGGACCCCGGCCCCGAGGGCGCGCGCCGGGCGCTGGGCCGCCTGCTGGAGGCGGTGCTGGCGAGCCGCGGCCAGGCCAACGCCGTGTTCGACGTCCTGGCCGCGCTGCAGGTGGGGGCGCGCGGGGCGCGGCGGCCGGGGCCCCGGGTCGGAGGCCGGGGGCTCGGGTGGGCGGGTGGCGGGCCGGGCGTGGGGCAGCCCCCGCGACCAGCCTGTTCCCTCAGTCCGAGGACCGCGAGGAGACCCAGGAGGCGGTGCGCGCGTGCAGCCGCCTTTTCGGGGCCCTGCTGCAGCGGGGAGAGCTGTTTGTGGGCCGGCTGCCGTCCGAGGGCTCGGTCATGGCAGGTGAGCGTCCCCGGGGCGCCGCGCTGTCCTCTGGCTGCGGGCCCGCGGGTCAGTAGAGGGGCACAGAGCCCGCGGTGGGGGCGGGGAGGATGGTGCTGGGGGCGGGCGGGGGGGGCGCAGAGACAGCCCCGCGGCCCGGTTACCACGGGGTCTGGTCGTGGCGTCTGGCGCTGTCCGATCTGTGCGCTCAGCGTCCCAGGAAGCTGGGGTCACGCGTCCCCACCCCCGGTCGCTTAGGTTTTGGGGTAAAGTGAGGGGCGAGGGGCTGTGCCCTGGGGGTAGGAGGTTCTTTCGTCCCGCCCCAGGTTTGGGGCCACGGTGACTGCACCCCTTTCCCTGGTGGGGCTGGGTGGAGAGTAGCGGGCACGCGTGGGCTGACCCTGTTGCTCCCCGCAGGGTCTCAGGGGGCCACGCGCAAATACAAGGTGTGGATGAGACATCGCTACCACAGCTGTTGTAACCGCCTGCAGGAGCTGCTGGCTCACCCCTCCTTTGAGGTCAAGGTGAGTCACGCGGACCGCCTCCAGCGTTCTCCGCACCCCCGGCCGCAGGCTGTCCACACGCACGGAGGTGGGGCTGAGGATGCCCGCGTCTGCGTTCCGGACCCCCTGAGGCCGCGTGGTCCTGTCTGGTTGGCGTTCTGGCGTCCCGGTACTTGTGGGAATGCTGGGGGGGGGCTCTGTGGCCAGGCCTGCGGTGGGCGTGGCCTGTGGTTAGGCGCCTGGGTCACTCTGCTACCCGCTGTCCCCAGGAGCTGGCTCTCAGCACGCTCATGAAGTTTGTGCAGCTGGAAGGAGCTCACCCCCTGGAGAAACCTAAGTGGGACGGCTACTACCTGTTTCCTCGGCAGCTCTTCAAGGTGGGGTGCACGGGGGTGGGGGACAGAGCCTCCGGCCAGAGCTGGGACGGGCCCTGGCGCAGGTGGCTAGTGAGTGCCGTGCGTTTGCCGTACCCTCCCCTGCGGGAGGGGAGAGGCTGCCGGCTCGGTGGTCTCCTTGGGCGGTCCCTTGGGCGTGGGGCTGACGCACTGAGGCCCGCCTCCCTGCTCGGCCCCCAGGCGGTGGTGGAAGGCCTGCTCTCTCCGGAGGACGACTGCTCGCTGCTCCTGTCCCGCTTCCAGGAGTACTTGGAACACGACGACATCCGTTACCACACGATGCAGGCAGCCACGGCCGTCGTGGGCCGCGTCGCTGACGGGGACCCAGAGGTGAGCCGGCTGGGTCCTGTGGCTGGGGGATGGGTGGGCGGCGGCCATGCCCGTGCTCAGGTTAGGCTTTGTGCAGGTGCCGCTCACGTTCTGGAACAACGCCTTCACGCTGTTGTCGGCTGTGAGCCTCCCCCGCCAAGAGTGTAGTTCCTCCAGCTTCTACGTGAAGCACATGGGTGAGCGTCCTGGGCAGGCGGTTGGGCAGGGGCACCCGGTGGGCTGCCTCCTCTCCCGCATGCCCGCTGATCCTTGCCTTCTGTGCAGAGCTGTCGCGCACGTGGAAGGTGGTTCATCTGAAGGTGAGGTGCTGCGGAGGGGTTGGTGGCCTCCCTGGGAGGGGGGTCCTTTCAGAAGGAGGCACGCGTGTGAGACAGGAAGAGAACTAGCTGCCCCTTCCTGGCTTAGGCAGGCGCGGGGTGCCACACAGGGACCCCTCATAGGGACCGGGAGCAGCGTGGGGGAGGCGCACAGGTACCCGGTTCCCAGGCTCTCTGCGGGCCCTTGTTACTGTGGGCGGTCACGGACGCGACGTTCCTCTGCTCCCGTACGGCTAGGATCCACGCGAGGCGTTTTCTCTTGTCTAGTAGGGGGTTCTCGGATTTGGGGTTTCGAGCTCCTCCTCCCACAGGGCAGCGGGGAGGCCGTGTGTCTGGTGTCCCCTCCTGGGGGCAGCTCTGACACCATATCTGCCCTAGGAGCACAGGAAGGCATTCCAGCTGATGTGGCTCGGCTTTCTCAGGCACAAGGTAGGGGCGGGGTGGGGCGGGCGGGGAGCAGGCACCCCGTCTGGCTCCGTATGGCCCACGGGGTTCTTGGAGTGGGGCAGGTGCACCCACACCTGCGGCTTCCCGGCAGCTGCCTCTGAGCCTCTACAAGAAGGTGCTGGTGGTCATGCACGACTCCATCTTGCCGCACCTGGCCCAGCCCAGCCTCATGATCGACTTCCTGACCCGCGCCTATGACGTGGGTGAGTGCTGAGCCCCGGGCGGGCTGGTGTGTGCCCGCGGGCTGGGCTCCTGCGGCCGTGAGGCTGGTGGGCCGTCCTCAGGAGTCTCCTTCCCCCCTCCCCCCAGCCTGGCGGCCTGCAGCTTTGTTGGACTCCCCCTGGGCTGGAGGGGTGGGGTGGGCTGGGGCTTCACAGCTGCACATGTGTCTGCAGGGGGAGCCATCAGTCTCTTGGCCTTGAATGGACTTTTTGTCCTGATTCACCAGCACAACCTGTGAGTACTCACCCGGGAGGTGTCCGCCCCGGGCCGGGGAGCTGGCTGGGCTGTGCCCAGGGTGGTGGGGTGGGAGTTGGGCTGGACAAGGGCCGGGGCGGGGACAGAGCCCCTGGAAGCCGCCACCGGTCTCTTCGTTGCTCCACCCCCGTGCCTGCTGCTCAGTCACACCTCCCCTCCCCTAGCGAGTACCCCGATTTCTACCGCAAGCTCTACGGTCTATTGGACCCCTCAGTTTTTCACGTCAAGTACCGGGCCCGGTTTTTCCATCTGGCCGACCTCTTCCTGTCATCCTCGTGAGTGCCAGAGGCGGGACTGAGACCCAGAGCTGGGACTGGGGTGCTGGGCGAGGGGGTCTCACTCACACCTACCGTCCCGCCCAGCCATCTGCCTGCCTATCTGGTGGCTGCCTTCGCCAAGCGCTTGTCCCGCCTGGCCCTGACGGCGCCCCCCGAGGCCTTGCTCATGGTCCTGCCCTTCATCTGCAATCTGCTGCGCCGGCACCCCGCCTGCCGCGTCCTTGTGCACCGCCCCCTGGGCCCTGGTGAGTGCGGCTGGGGGCGCTGGGGGACCTGGGGGCCTGCCCTCCCCCAGCAGCCAGTACACCGGGGATCGGTCGTGGAGCAGGGCCTGGTCTCGTTCCTAGAGCTGGATGCCGACCCCTATGACCCCGAAGAGGAGGACCCCGCCAAGAGCCGAGCTCTGGAGAGTTCGCTGTGGGAGCTGCAGGTGAGCACGCCGGGCACGTCACCCATCTCCTGGCCCACCTGGGTGTGTGCGGCATGCGGGTTTCCTGGCTGCCCGGCGGGGGGTGGTGATGTCATACGTGCTCTGCAGGCCCTGCAGCGGCATTACCACCCCGAGGTGTCCCAGGCCGCCAGCGTTATCAACCAGGCGCTGTCCATGCCTGAGGTCAGCATCGCACCGCTGCTGGATCTCACGGCGTTTGAGGTGAGGGGGTGACGCTGAAGCCTGGGTGGCCGGGGTGCAGGGACCGCGCAGTGTGGGAGCGTCCATCTGTCCGTCCCTTGCAGGTCTTCGAGCGGGACCTGAAGAAGAAGGGCCAGGAGTCAGTGCCACTGGAGTTCATCCCCGCCCAGGGTCTGTTGGGCCGGCAGGACGACCTCTGCGCCCAGCACTTCACGCTTAGCTGACCCTGTGACCTCCCCTCTCTCCTCGGCCCCCATAAGTGGTTTTGTGGGAGAGCCACTGGGGTGGGCTGTGGGTAGCTAGGAGGACTCTGGGGAGGTGCTGAACCCGTCTCCTGGCTCCCGTGGTGGCCGTGTCTACAGGCCGACGTCCACAGTGCTGGCCATGCTGTGTCCACCTGCAGCAACCCCCGCCCCGGAACGTGGTGTCCAGGGGTCTCTCCCTCCACTGAAGCCTGTGGGGAGGGCGGCTGCAGAAGTGGCTTCTGCCACGGGGCTCTGGGTGCACGGGTGTGGCTGTTGCCAGCCCTACAAGCTTCCCCAGGCACCCCACACTCCTCGGGGCCCTCGTATCCAGGGAGGGTCTGGGCCACGCCCCCCACCTGTCCAGTGCGGTTGGACTCCGTGACCCAGGAGCGACAGTGAGGGCTCTGTCCTGGTTAGTCTTGGGTGCACAGGGAGCGCACACGCCCATTCCTGGCTAGGGCCAGAGGAGGACACCTTTGTCCCCTGACCCCCAGGGTGCCGGGCTGTGTGTGCCCGGTCAGGGAGTTAGCTGGAGGTCGCTTCACCCTTCCATCCTGTCCCCGAGCAGAGTGGGCACCGGCAGCCACGGGCCAGTGGCTTATTTTGTGCCAGGATGTTTGTTCCTTCGAGGCCCCGTTTCTGCCAGGCGAGCCTGCTCCTTGAGTCTGGGTTTTGTCTCTAAAAACCTGGTTGTCTGGGGACGGAGGAGTTGGTGTGACGGCAGCTCACGTAGGCTGGGGGGGCTGGCGGAGGCACAGGTGGGGGTGGAGAGCCTGCGAGGGAGAGACCCCCGTTGCCCTGCAGCCTCCTGAGTTCCCAGGACACCCCCACCCCCCAGGAGCGCCCTGGGGTCACAGAGGGCAGTCGTTTGGCCACTTTGGTCTCTGGGAGCTGCTCCTGTGGCCCAAGACCCTGGTGTGCCTGGTGGGGGCTTTGCCCAAGGAGTGAAGGGGCGCTTCTTCTCCGTACAGGGTTGTGTGAGTCAGGGACACTAGCGCCCCACCCCCTAGCTGAACTGCCCTGGCTCCCTCCCAAGCTGGTTCCTGCCCCAGGGCCTTTGCACTGCTGTTGCCACAGCTTTCCCCTGATCTTCAGACCCCAGGCTGAGTGAGGCCTTGTGGAGGCCTCTGCCGAGCATCCTGTGTATAACAGCGTTTTGTGCGTCCCACCTGGCACCCACTTATCTTCATGGCCCGGCTGCCCTGCAGCAGTCCACCGACTGTCCCTGCCCGCCTTCCCAGGGACCGAGGAAGGCTCGTTACTGACCGGCCTCGTCCCCTGGCCCAGGACTTGCCTGGCTCGGAGGAGGGGCTCATGCACATTTGTGGGGACAGTCTCGAGGCTCCTGAGTGGCCTGCTACCAGAGGTCACCAGTGCCCCACCTGAGCCTCGGTGTGGGGACACCAGGGGGCAGATGGGTGGGCTGAGGCCTCACTGATTAAAAAATGCCATTGATTTTTAAAGTTAAATTATAAAAGGCTTAAGCAGGTTTTATTTTTTTCCAAATTCAGCATCGTGTGTTCTGTGTAGACTTTCTCATTCTGGCAGATACGGGGACTCCCACGCCCTGGACACCTCAGTCCACTACACCCCCTGACCCCCAGGGCTGGGCAGCTGCATTTTGCCACATTGGTATTGGGTTGGTGTTTCTTTTTTATTTTACTTTATTTTATTTAATTTTTTCCAAAGATTTTGTTGAGTAAGAGAGTAAGCGTGGAGGGGGGGCAGAGGCAGAAGGACAAGCAGACTCCCTGCTGAGCTTAGAGCCCAATGGGGGGCTGGATCCCAGTACCCCGAGATCATGACCTGGGCTGAAGCTGAGTCGGACGCTCAGCCCACTGAGCCACCTAGGCCCCCAGGTTGGTGTTTCTCCATCTCCGGGCCTGGTTGCCCTTTGGGTGGTCGGCTGAGCGGATGCGGGGTGGGGGCAGGGATGGAGGAGACGGCAGCCCCGCTGGGGTGGCCGGGACAGCCTCTGAGGCTTCAGGGCTGGGGGCCTGACACCTGACGGGCGTCAGGGCTTCTGGTCCAGGGGATATTAGAGCTAGATGGTCAGGGGCTCTGGGACCCTCTGGGATCTGAGTGAAAGTGCTGGGGTGGGGCCTGGGGTCTACACGTGTAGACCCTCTCTTGCCAGGTAGTCACTGTCCTAGGAGATTTGAACATTCTGGGGAGAGTACAGGACACTGCTGGGTGAGAGCGTCTGCGTGGAGGACTCTTCATACCGTTCGTGGCTCCCAGCCCACCTGCCACGGCAGACCCAGGGTCAGACTTGGGGGGGGGGTCTCAGGGATCCTGGACCGGCCATGGGCGTCAGACGTCGGGGGGGTCTCAGGGGCCTCAGACTGGCTGTGGGGGTCAGACGGGGGTGTCTCAGGGACCCTGGACCGGCTGTGGGGGTCAGACGTCGGGGGGTCTGGGGACCTCGGACTGGCCGTGGGGGTCAGACGGCGGGGTCTCGGGGACCCCGGACTGGCCGTGGGGGTCAGACGTCAGGGGGGTCTCAGGGACCTCAGACTGGCTGTGGGGGTCAGACGGGGGGTCTCAGGGACCCTGGACCAGCTGTGGGGGTCAGACGTCGGGGGGTCTGGGGACCTCGGACTGGCCGTGGGGGTCACACGGGGGCGTCTCAGGGACCTCGGACTGGCCGTGGGGGTCACATGGGGGGTCTCGGGGACCCTGGACCGGCCATGGGGGTCAGACGTTGGGGGATCTCGGGGACCTCGGACTGGCCGTGGGGGTCACATGGGGGGTCTCGGGGACCCCGGACTGGCCGTGGGGGTCAGGCGTCGGGGGGGTCTCAGGGGCCTCAGACTGGCTGTGGGGGTCAGACGGGGGTGTCTCAGGGACCCTGGACCGGCTGTGGGGGTCAGACGTCGGGGGGTCTGGGGACCTCGGACTGGCCGTGGGGGTCAGACTGGGGGGTCTCGGGGACCTCGGACTGGCCGTGGGAGTCAGACGGGGGGTCTCGGACCCCTCGGACTGGCTGTGGGGGTCAGATGTGGGGGATCTCACGGACACCGGACTGGCTGTGGGGGTCATGTGGGGGGTCTCGGAGACCCCAGACTGGCCATGGGTGTCAGAAGGGGGGCTCTCGGGGAAATGGGTGTGTATGAAGTTGAGAAACCCCTGAGAAGGCATCCTTGCAGCTGCTCCCCCACCAGGCAGTAAGTGGGACAAAACCCCCATGATGGGAGCTCATAGGTCATCAGGCAGAGCAGGGCGAGGGATGCCTCCGGAGTAGAAAACATCAGTGGAGGCCGCCTTGGATGGAGCGTCCAGAACCGACGTCCAGGCCCCGGGGGCAGCAGGGGCAGTCAGGAGCCTCCCGGGTAAGGGAGGATAGGTGGCATAGGTGGGATGACGGACCTTTCAGGGTGTGGGGAGGGCACGTAGTGAAGAGGGGGCACATGGGGATCCCCAGTGCCGCGGTGTGTGTGACCCCGACCAGGGTCGGTGCCCATGGATGGCCCGGCCCTTCCCTTCTCCCTTCCGCTTGGGGTAGCAGTGGCCTCCTTGTCCACTCGGTTCGTCAGCCCCCATCACTGTATATCCACCCCCCAGTGCCAAATGCTGCTTCTCTCTTCCCGGCCCATACGTCCCTCCCTGACACCACCCAACCCAGGGGAGAGGGGGACCCTGACCAGCGGAGACCCCACTCCTGTCATATCCAGAACCGGAGCTGAGAACAGAATGCGTATCGGTTTGCAGAAGCTCAGGGGTGTGGCGTTTCCTGCCCCGCGAGGAGGTTCGCGGGGAGCTGGCCCTCTTGTTCAGGGGGCCAGGGACACAGGGCCCCTTCCTGTGCCCGTGAGCAGCTCCCGGCTCACTGCCCCCCTCCCGGCGCGGAGGCTCCAGTGTAGACTGAGCACCTACTGTGCGCGGGAGCGTCCTTCCGCACACGCCTGGCCAAGCCTCTCCAGGGAGCCTCTCCCTCCCTCCCTTGGTCTCCCATGCCCTGTCCCCTCCAGGAGGTGAATGGGGCTGGGGGGCAATGAGGTCACGGTCGGCCAGGTCACGCAGCCGGGCCACGCGATGAGGCGTGTCCGTCCTCATGATAAGGAGCGTTCGCCCCTGCCTGGCATTCAGCAGATTAGCTGCAGACAATTCGATGTCAGCAGGCGTCCTCCTGAGAGGTCAGTCGGCGAGAGGAGCTCGCGACGACCCGTCCCCCATAAGCGCTCTCCCGCTGCACTGCACCCCTGCGCCCCGTCCGCTCGCCTCTGCGGGGGAGGAGATGGTCCGTTACCGGAAGCCGCCAGCCTCACTGCCACTTTCAGGAGCGGGGTGGTGGAGGTTGTGGCTTCGGCCTGCACCCCCAGCCTCAGCTGTCTCAAGGGGGCTGTGCCCGGTGCCGGGACTGCTCCGAATTACTCCAGAGCTTAGCGGCTCGAGCCCAGGTCTCTGCAAAGGGCCAGAGTGGCTGGTGTGGCTTCGGGGCCCCACACAGCGGCTCACCTGCAGCACCGTGGAGCGTGCGGGCACAGGGCACGCGTGGGCCCCAACGGCTGCCCGCAAGGGCAGGCGGGGGGCTCGGCCTTTGGGTCGTGGCCGGCCATGCCCCGGCCTGGTGACCTCTCCTCCCTTTAGAAGCCAGGCCGTGTGCCCGACTGGGCGTCTGGACACGGCTCCCGTCCACGGACATGCAGATGAACCTGGCCTCCGGGCAGGACCAGTGACGTCCCCTGCCCGTGGAGGGGTCAGTTTGCGTTTGGGGAATTCCTTCGGGGCTTCCTGCCAGGCCCGCGCCTGGGGTTCCCCTCGGGGACGCTGGACTGTCTGACAGGTCGCCTTCGCCTCGTTACCCAGCGGTTGGACAGACGCTTTGACGACGTTCCCTGTACGTCTGCATAAGATCCCCGTGACCTCAGTCCCAGGCGTGGCCATGCTTACCACGTTGGCGCCCATTCCGCTTCGCCACAAGTCCCAGTATGCCGCCGGCCCCCTGCCTTGGAGGCGTGACAACCCAGCGTGCGCTCACCCCCCTTCTCTGCTGACACCAGAGCATCCTGTGCCCTGTGTGTCCCTGGAGTTGCGATACTAAATCGTCTGTCAGTCAGTGTCGATTGCTTTTGCTTTGACCACGGAGAACGTTTGCTGGTATTTCTGTGCTTAATTTTGTTAATTGGACACAACCAATTCTTGGAAATTGGATCAAATACTGGATGTGCAGCAAGGTCTGGGACCCTGCAGGCACCCACCAACCCCTCCCTCTCCACCCCTCTCCTCCCCTGGCCCACGGCACCCAGCCTGTCCCGGAGGGTGGGGATGGTCGCCAGTGGCCCACTGTGTGAGCGCAGGGAGCTGAGCGCCCCCCCCTGGAGATCTGGACTTCGAAGAAGCGGAGATGGGTGCACAGCGGCCAAAGAGCAGATGCCCTGACCCCGTCCTCAGAGGGGCCGCCCACCGTGGGGTCTTCGCGACTGCTTCTCCCACAGAGCATGATGTGGTCACGGTCCATCCACACTGTAGTGTGTCCGCCGGTCCACTCCTTTCGTGGCCAAATAGCATTCCTTCGTGTGTTGGGGCGCCTGAGTGGCTCAGTCGTTAAGCGTCTGCCTTCGGCTCAGGTCATGATCCCAGGGTCCTGGGATCGAGCCCCACATCACTTCTCCTTCTCCCTCTGTCTACCACTCTGCCTACTTGTGCTCTCTCTCTGTCAAATAAATAAATAAAATCTTAAAAAAAAAAAACCAAAACATTCCTTCGTGTGGATGGACACGTCGGGTTTGCCCAGTCGTCGGTGTGGGGACTGGCCGGCCCTGGAGCCGTCCCCCAGGCAGGGGCAGACCCGAGGACGTCTGGGACAACATGTGCATTTCCCGCAGCACGCGGGTCGATTTCTCAGGCAGGGCTCCCGCCCCTCCGTTCGCATTACCGTGTAACAAAGGACCCCAAACGCAGGGGCATCAACAGCATTTGTGTCCCCAAGCCCTGCGGTCAGGGTGCAGACGGGGCTCCATCCGGCGGCTGGACCAGCTGTGTGATGCTTGGCAGCTCCGGCGGGGACAGCAGCGCCACCGCATTCTGACAAGTGCGTGGGGAAATGCAGGTGAACTGCTCTGGGGCCGTCCTCACACAGAGCCAAGACCCGGGTGCTGCAAGCAACCGAGGTGTGGTCTCTGCAGGTCTGAAGGCCAGACGTCCTAATGCAGGTGATTCAGGGCCGAGCTGTCTCTGGAGGCTGCAAGGGAGGGTCCTCCCTGGTCTCTCCAGCCTCCGGTCGTGGCTGAGGATCCCATCCTGTGGCTGCATTCCTCCCACCCCTGCCTCCATCCCTGCCCGTCCCCTTTATCCACTCCCTGAAGCTGGGCATTGTCCACGGGGACATCAGGGCACCCTGCAATCCCGTCCCTGTGCACCTAGACCCAGCTGGGGAGGGCCTTGCTCCCACCACTGCAGCCTGGGCCACGAGGAGTCAGTCTGGCCCTAGGGGATGAGCGCGTGGCGGCCCAGGGCCCATCAGGCTCCTGGTTTACGAAAAACTGTGCAGCCAGTTTTAGGCAGACTCCTTGAAGGACTTCCCAAAGGGAAGCACTCTCCGCCCTGGGGGTGTGCATGTCTGGGGGGCTGGCCCCGCCCAATAGGCCACAAGGGGAACCCACAGACCAAGGTGGGGGTACCCGGACCTAAATGGGCAGCGGGTGCCGAACCCGGGCCTGGGAGCTGGTGCTCAGAGACGCTTGGCATCGGTGGATCCAAGTCGTATCCCGCATGACGGCGCCTATGGGCCCCGAAGCCCGAGCTGGACAATCTGGACTGCTGCTCGGCGAGGGTCGAGAGGGACTGTTGGGCTGCCCTCCAGAGGGACACCTGGGAGCCCCCTTGGCTGGAGAGGCCGGGAGCCCATCGGGCAGGCAGTCCACCTGGGGGGTTCAATGTACCACCTCAGAGACCGTCCCGGGTGGGGTCCCTCCACTCTGAGGCCGGTCAGGTGCTCTGCGGGGGACCCGGAGCTCCACGGAACTGGGGTGCCTGCCCCCTGGAGCTCAAGGTGGGCTGGCAAGGGGCAGAGGGCACAGTGCAGGCCGCGCAGGGGGAGCAGCGGCGGGACCAGGAAAAGCACAGCTGTGGGAAGAGGCCGGATCACAGGAGGGAGGAGGCTATTTGGGGTCACTGGAATCGGCCCCGTTCAAAGCCTCTGACACAGAGGCACATATGCCCCCTGAAGGCCCATCTAGAGGCAAGTGCACTACCTTTCCAGCGATGGGTGGAGGCTGGAGGGCCGATGAATCCTCCCGCAAAAGACCCCGGGAGGCCTTGAAGGCTGGGGAAGCCGGGGACCCATGGGGCCGACAGGCCGGAGGGAGACCGACGGCGGCCGCATGCAAGCCGCCAGCTCAGAAGGAGCCTCGGGGTTGGGATCCCTCCGCGCGGAAGGCTCGCGGGTGGTTCTGGTGCGGGCCGAGATCCACCTGCAGAGACACCGCACAGGTGAGGGCGCCTAGCGCGCATGCGTGAGCCGCGCAGGTGCGGGCAGCCAGGGACCCAGAAGAGCGCGAGCGTGCAGCGCGGCTGGGGAGGGGGCGGGCCCCCGGGGGCCCAATCCTCTGCCCAATTCCGCGCCCTCGGCTGCACACCTGTGCCTACTTCGGCCCCAGAGGCGAAGCTGGAGGAGCGGGGTCTGCCTTGGTCGCAGGGGCCGGGGAGGCTGGCGGGGTGTTTTCCAGCCACAGGCACCCGGGACCCCGTCGGGCAGGCAGCCGGTTGCAGGGGGGCTGCCTGTACCGTTGCAAGCTGTCCCCTGACAAAGGGCGTGGGCTGCCCGTTTTATTCCGGAGGCTGTTGGGGTGATCCCGGCTATGCCGCGTCTCCACCGGTTTCCAGGGCCTCGGCGGGCCGACAGGTGCGTATGGCGCTTTTAGGAGCTGCCCGTGTCGGGGGAGCCCGGGGCGCGGCTGGTGCGGGGTGTGGCAGCGACCCCAGGCTCGGGGGGCGCGGCCCACACGCTCGACCTACTCGCAGGCCTGCACCTGCGCGCGTGGGCGTGTGTTTCCCTTTCAGCGGGAGCTGGGGGCCCCGAGTCCCCTGACTGCGCTGTCCTTCTGTAAGAGACCCCTGAGGGCCCTGAGCTCGGGAGAAGGCGCGGGCTTCATCAGGCAGCCAGTGCAGATGGGGCCGGAGCTGGGCCCCTGGAAAGGTGCCTCTAAGGAAGACTCTTTGGGGGTGGGCTCCCTCCAGCCTGGAGGCGGTGCGTGTGCTTCCAGACCCACCGGAGCTGGGCAGGCTCAGATGACCCCAGCCGCCCTCTGCGGGCTGGCGCGGTGCTTGCTGAGCATGCTCCAGCCGCGCAGGTGCGTGGAGCCAAGGTCCCCGGCGAGGGTCTGGAGGGGCTGCTTGCTTCAGGCAGTAGCCTGGTGGGATCCATGGCATCGGCCTGTTTCCAAGGGCCAATCCACACAAATGCGTATGTTCCCCCTGAAGGCAGCGCCGAGGGACCTGGGAGCCTTGCGAGGCCTGACTGCCGCGCCCTGACCATGGTATCCTCAACGAGCGGCACCTGGGAGCCTTGCTGGCTGCAGAAACCCGGGCCTTCCGAACAGTGAGTGCACCTGGGGACTGACTCGCCCCCATTGCCGGGGCTGCCTCCAACGGAGTTTCAGGGGTGGGCTCCCTCCATGGTGGACACAACGCAGAGGTGGCCGGAGATGGGTCCTGGCTCCCAGGGCAGTGACAGGGGACAGTACGGTGCAGGTGTGAGCCTCCCAGGTCAGGGGAGCCCGGGCCGGGAACAGGGGAGGTCGGGCGAGGTCGGGACACAGGAGCAGCTGCCCAAGTCCAAGCCCAGACCTGCACAAACACACCTGTGCCCCTGAGGTCTGTGGGGTTTCGGGGGCCAGCAATGCTCAGACTGATTGTCTTTTTGTTGTTGCTCTTGTTTGCTTGATACGTTTTTGAAAGATTTTAATTCCAGTGTCATTAACATGCAACGTTGTATTAGTTTCGGGCGTGCAGTGTAGGGATTCAACACTCCTACACATCACTCCGTGCTCCTCACGGTAAGTGTACGCCTGGTCCCCTGGACCTGGTTCACTCCTCCCCACCCTCCTCCCCTCTGCTAAACACCAGTGCTCTGTAGTTAAGTCTGTTTCTTGGACTGTTTCTTGTTTTGTTCCGACGTTTCCACATATGAGTGAGATCCTATGGTATTTGTCTTTCTCTGACTTACTTCACTTAGCATTATACTCTCTAGGTCCATCCATGTTACAAATGGCAAGATTCCTTCTTCTATATGGCTGAGTAACAGTCCATTGTGTGTACACATCACATCTTTATCCATTGGTCAGTCCGTGGACACTTGGGCTGCTTCTCTAATTAAGCTATTGTAGATAATGCTGCTGTAACAGGGGTGCATGTATCCTTTGAAGTATTGATTTTGTATCTTTGGGCAAATACCCAGTAGCCCAATCCCTGATGATGAGTGATGTTGAGCATCTGCTCTTGTGTCTGTTGGCCATCTGGATGTCTTCTCTGGAAAGGTGTCTGTTCATGTCTTTGCCCATTTTGAAAATGGATTATTTGTTTTTTTGGAGTGTTGAATTGTATCAGTTTTTAATACTTTGGATAGTAAGCCTTTATCAGATATGTCATTTGCAAATTTCTTACCAATTCTGTAGGTTGTCTTTTAGTTTTGTTGACTGTTTGCTGTGCAAAAGCTTTTTATTTTCATGAAGTCCTAATAGTGCATTTTTGCTTTTGTTTCACCTTGTCTTTGGAGACGGTGTCTTGAAAGAAGTTGCTGTGGCCAATATCGAAGAGGTTGCTGCCTGTGTTCTCCTCCAGGATTTTGAAGGATTCCTATCTCCCATTTAGGTCTTTCATCCATTTTGAGTCTATTTTTGTGTGTGGTGTAAGGAAATGGTCCAGTGTCATTCTTCTGCATGTGGCTGTCCAATTTTCCCAACACCATTTATTGAAGAGACTTTTTTCCATTGGATATTCTTTTCTGGTTTGTCGAAGATTAGCTGACCATACAGTTGAGGGTCCATTTCTGGACTTTCCTGTTCCATTGATCTACGTGTCTGTTTTTGTGCCAATACCATGCTGTCTTGATGATTACAGTTTTGTAATAGAGCTTGAGGTCCAGAATTGTGATGCCTCCAGTTTTGGTTTTCTTTTACAACGTTCCTTTGGCTGCTCAAGGTCTTCTGTGGTTCCATACACATTTTAGGATTGGTTGTTTTAGCCCTGTGAAAACTGTTGTTGGTAGTTTGATAGGGTTTGCATTACATGTGTAGATGGCCTTGAGGAGAGATTAATATATAATGTATTATTTGTTTCAGGGGTACGGGTCTGTGATTAAACAGTCTTACACAATTCACAGCACTCACCATAGCACATACCCTCCCCAATGTCCATCACCCAGCCACCCCATCCCCCCCACCCCCTCCACTCCAGCAACCCTCAGTTTGTTTCCTGAGATTAAGAGTCTCTTAAAAAAAAAAAAAAAAAGTCTCTTATCGTTTGTCTCCCTCTCTGGTTTTGTCTTGTTTCATTTTTTCCTCTCTTCCCCTGTGATCCTCTGCCTTGTTTCTCAAATTCCACATATTAGTGAGATCATATGATAATTGTCTTTGATGGACTTATTTCGCTTAGCATAATATCCTCTAGTTCCATCCACATCATTGCAAATGGCAAAATTTCATTTTTTGATGGCTGCATAATATTCCATTGTATATATAAACCATATCTTCTTTATCCATTCATCTGTCGATGGACATCTGGGCTCTTTCCACAGTTTGGTTATGGTGAACATTGCTGCTATAAACATTGGGGTGCATGTGCCCCTTTGGATCACTACATTTGTACTTTTGGGGTAAATATCCAGTAGTGCAATTGCTGGGTCATAGAGTAGCTCTATTTTCAAATTTTGAGGAACCTCCATACTGTTTTCCAGAGTGGTTGCACCAGCTTGCATTCCCACCGACAGTGTAGGAGGGTTCCCCTTTCTCCACATCCCCGCCAACATCTGTCCTTTCCTGACTTGTTCATTTTAGCCATTCTGACTGGTGTGAGGTGGTATCTCATTGAGGTTTTGATTTGGATTTCCCTGATGCCCAGTGATGTTGAGATCCTTTCATGTGTCTGTTGGCCATTTGTATGTCTTCTTTGGAGAAGTGTCTGTTCATGTCCTCTGCCCATTTTTTGACTTGATTATTTGTTTTTTGGGTGTTGAGTTGTATCAGTTCTTGATAGATTTGGGATACTAGCCCTTTATCTGATATGTCATTTGCAAATATCTTCTTCCATTCTGTCAGCTGTCTTTTGGTTTTGTCAACTGTTTCCTTTGTTGTGCAAAAGCTTTTTATCTTGATGAAGTCCCAGTAGTTCATTTTTGCCCTTGCTTCCCTTGCCTTTGGAGACGTGTCTAGCAAGAAGTGGCTGCGGCCAAGGCCAAAGAGGTTACTGCCTGTGTTCTGTAGGATTCATGGATTCCTGTCTCACATTTAGGTCTTTCATCCATTTTGAGTCTATTTTTGTGTGTGGTGTAAGGAAATGGTCCAGTGTCATTCTTCTGCATGTGACTGTCCAATTTTCCCAACACTATTTGTTGAAGAGACTGTCTTTGTTCCATTGGACATTCTTTCCTGCTTTGTTGAAGATTAGTTGACCATAGAGTTGAGGGTCCATTTCTGGGCTCTCTATTCTGTTCCATTGATCTATGTGTCTGTTTTTGTGCCAGTACCAGACTGTCTTGATGATGACAGCTTTGTAATGAGCTTAAAGTCCGGAATTGTGATGTCACCAGTTTTGGTTTTCTTTTTCAACATTCCTCTGGCTATTCGAGGTCTTTTCTGGTTCCATACAAATTTTAGGATTATTTGTTCCATTTCTTTGAAAAAAGTTGATGGCATTTTGATAGGGATTGCTTTGAATGTGTAGATTGCTCTAGGTAGCATTGACATCTTCACAATATTTGTTCTTCCAATCCATGAGCATGGAACGTTTTTCCATTTCTTTTTGTCTTCCTCAATTTCTTTCATGAGTATTCTATAGTTTTCTGAGTACGGATCATTTTCCTCTTTGGATTATTCCTAGGTATCTTATGGTTTTTGGTGCAATTGTAAATGGGATTGACTCCTTAATTTCTCTTTCTTCTGTCTTATTGTTAGTGTATAGGAATGCCACTGATTTCTGTGCATTGATTTTATATCCTGCCACTTTACTGAATTCCTGTCTGAGTTCTAGCAGTTTTGGAGTAGAGTCTTTTGGGTTTTCCACATAAAGTATCATATCATTTGCGAAGAGTGAGAGTTTGACTTTTTCTTTGCTGATTTAGACGAATTTTATTTCTTTTTGTTTTCTGATTGCTGAGCCGAGGACTTCTAGTACAATGTTGAATAGCAGTGGTGATAGTGGACATCCCTGTCATGTTCCTGACCTTAGAGGAAAAGCTTTCAGTTTTTCCCCATTGAGAATGATATTCGCTGTGGGTTTTTCATAGATGGCTTTTATCGTATTGAGGTATGTTCCCTCTATCTCTACACTGTGAAGAGTTTTAATCAAGAAAGGATGCTGTACTTTGTCAAATGCTTTTTCTGCATCTATTGAGAGGATCATATGATTCTTGTTCTTTCTTTTGTTAATGTATTGTATCACGTTGATTGATTTGCGGATGTTGAACCAAACTTGCAGCTCAGGAATAAATCCCACTTGGTTGTGGTGAATAATCCTTTTAATGTACTGTTGGATCCTACTGGCTAGTATTTTGGTGAAAATTTTTGCATTCATGTTCATCAGGGATATTGGTCTGTAATTCTCCTTTTTGATGGGGTCTCTGTCTGGTTTGGGGATCAAGGTAATGCTGGCCTCATAAAATGAGTTTGGAAGTTTTCCTCCCATTTCTCTTTTTTGGAACAGTTTCAGAAGATTGGTATTAACTCTTCCTTAAATGTTTGGTAGAATTCCCCTGGGAAGCCATCTGGCCCTGGGCTCTTGTTTGTTGGGAGATTTTTGATTACTGCTTTAATTTCCTTGCTGGTTATGGTCTATTCAGGTTTTCTACTTCTTCCTGGTTCAGCTTTGGTAGCTTATATGTCTCTAGGAATGCATCCATTTCTTCCAGATTGTCTAATTTGCTGGCGTATAGTTGCTCATAATATGTTCTTGTAATTGTATTTCTTCGTTATTGGTTGTGATCTCTCCTCTTTCATTCATGATTTTTTTATTTGGGTTCTTTCTCTTTTTGATAAGTCTGGCCAGGGGTTTATCAATCTTATTAATTCTCTCAAAGAACCAGATTCTAGTTTCACTGATCTGTTCTACGTTCTTTTGGTTTCTATTTCATTGATTTCTGCTCTGATCTTTATTATTTCTCTTTTTCTGCTGGGTTTAGGCTTTATTTGCTTTTCTTTCTCCAGCTCTTTTAGGTTTAGAGTTAGGTTGTATATGTGAGATCTTTATGTGTTTCTTAAGAAAGGCTTGTATTGCTATATACTTCCCTCTTAGAACCCCTTTCCTGCATCCCAGAGATTTTGAACAGTTGTGTTTTCATTTTCATTTGTTTCCATGAATTTTTAAAATTCTTCCTCAATTTCCTGG